ACATACTTAGAATCGCCATGCTAGAGTAGGATTAGAACTTAGGGTGCTAAACTTTTGTATGGTAGAACATTAGAAACACTTTCTAGGCACAAGGGGTGAAGTGGACTAAGTGTAGGGTTTAATTATTGCAAAGAGTTTTAGAATTAGCCTAATTCACCTCCCTCTTGGGCATCTTGATCCTTTCAATGAACATGGAATTACTACACTGGCTATGGTTACTATTGTATGCTACTAAATGATAGACCACATGTTTGACACAGATTAGTTGATAATCTAGAGATGAATAGCTATAATTAACTTGATGACCGAATTATAAATGTACAACCAAATTAGTCGCTTTTTATGCAAAATGTTGTCAAGCTAGCTCCACTTATATAGCCTTGCATGATCCTTAGTCACTTTATTTTTTGTTTATGATAGGTAAGTCTAGCTGAGTACCTTCTTATACTCAGGGTTTATTTCCCATTGTTGCAGATAATACGATATGTCATGGCTACTGTAAGAACTGCTTGTGTCCCGCCGTGGACAAGGAGTAGGGCCTTGGACAAGACATCTCTTGTTAATCCCTCTCTTATGCTTTTGTGGGATTGTGATCATGAGCTTGCACAGTATTTGAACAACGATGGAGATATTGGTTTCAAACTTTAATTGCTTCCGCTACTATTTTACCTGAACTTAGTTTATAATAACTTTTAATCATACTCTGATGTATGAAGTTGTATTTGTGAACTTTATGTAACATGTGATATGTATGTTGAATCATGTATGATCTTGGTTGTATGTTGGTTGAATTGAGACCCTTCGTGGTACTCGATGGACTACCAGGTTTATATGGGCTAAGTATGACAGTGTGACCGCTTGCGAGCTGCCGTTGTACTTGTGCTCTTATAAATTGGACGGTTCTACTACAACGTATTGGTTCATCGATCTTGATTTCACTTGCTCTTCACCGTTGCCTCGGTCCATCGGCGCCAAGTCATCACTCAACTTGCCCTTGACTCTTGCAACTGATCCGTCGAGCCAAGTCTTGTCTTGATCTTCTCCAACTTGATCACATGACTCCATGTTATGTCTCATATGCAATGAGCTCCTTCATCACATGTGTAAGCCTTGCAACAAATCCAAGCCATCTTCACTGTCATGGCATGAGTTGCTCATACAAGTACCTGTGGATTAATCACCTGTGTATCTCACTCAAACATATATTAGTCCACATAAGGTTGTCACTTAGTTACCAAAACCAAACAAGGACCTTTCAATCGTTCCTTTGAATGGATCCTCTCAGTCTATTGATGACACCAAGGCAGAAGAGCCCAAGCTGCTAAATAGTCCTCCGATGGAGGAGCCGCATCAACTGGACATCGACATGAAGATTGAGGATTATGCTAGTCCCCTGATACATCACCCACCACTGGTGACACCACCAACAATACATCGAAGCAAGTCTTATGACAAATTAAATCAATGGTTCGCCGAAGCGCCCGCCTTGCCAAGCACAAAGTTCTAAAAGACTTGGGGATTCTTAGAAATGTCGGGAAGCTCATGAGCTAGGATGCAATTCAAGAATATGCAGTGTGCGTGAAAGAACTATTGCCATCAAATCTCCTTGAGTCACTCATGCATAAAAAAGGTTGTGCTTTATGGGATCTTGTGTCAGAGATCTCTTTGCCTCTTCGCTAGGCTTTGTTGTTTTGTTTTGGTTTATTTCATGTTGCCTAGTTGTTTACCTTGGTAGAATGGTAGTTGCTTTCTTTGTCGTTGGTATCACATCATTGACTTGTCGTCTTAGGATTGTTGTTGTTATTGTGTTGTTATTTTATTGTATTACCCAGTCTAAGCCTTTTCTTTTTAATATAATCGGCATGTCTCCTGCATAATTCATTTAAAGAACAAAAAAAGACTCTCCTTTGTAACGCTTTGGTCCCCACATTTTCACGACAACATCTCCTGCTCTGCCAAACGGATATATAGAAAATGGCTCCACCCAAAGAAGATAGAACTATTTTTTATTCTAAAGAGTTAGAATTAGAAAAAAAGAATTTCTTGGCTCCTCACAGATTTAATATAACTTACTACGTAACGTCACTCAGGCCGTATTTTCCTAACTCTTTCTACCCTATCAAAAAAAAGTTGTTCCATAAAAGAGCCGGCGGTGCTAGACTGGCACCACACTTGTAGTATGGTTTGACCGTTTGAGAGAAAAAAATGGTTGTTGAGAAAAATGTTTGAATGGAAAGAGTATTCCACTAGTAAGTACGGAGTACAGCAGAGGGACGTACCTACGCCGATGACGCTCATTGGGCATCCGACGGCGCAGCAGAAATAAGCACGGAAGCCGTCCAGGTACTCGCCGCTGCCGCCGCACCCATGAAGATGGCCGTCGGCTAGCTGCTGCTGCTCCCCACTCGCGGCCTTCCCCGGCGCTGGAGTAAGCAAGTAGATCCCTAGGAAAGTTCTCTCCTCCATCACCCTCTTTCTCTGCAAAGGAACGGATTGTTCCAGGCACTCGCCGCCGTTGCAGTGCCCACGAAGATGGCCGCCGGTGGTGGCTGCCATCGCTGCTCGCGGCCTCCTAAACCTTTGGAGCAGCAAGCAGTCACCGGGAAAGTGCTCTCCTCCACCGCCCGCCTCCGTCGTCCCTATCCTTAGCTCGTGCTCGCCTTTGTCTCTCCCAGCGTCTGTGTGCGGTTGTCCTCATATCAAGGTCGATCTTTGCGTCGTGACAACGGCTTCATGGTTCATGCTTCGACGGGCCACGGGGGATGAGGGCTGTAGAGACCAATTACGGATGACATTCTTGATGCTGAACTATTTTTAGAGGTTGACGTTCTGGTGAGGTACTTTTGTTTTTGGGCAATCCTAGGCACGGGGAAGGACTGTATGCAATTATGTGTTCAAGGTTCAACATGGAGAATTCTGTTTTTGTTTAAACACAGACATGGAGAGATGAAAATCATGCATAATACTCTAGTTCAATTTAAGTTTCTTTTGCTATTTTACATATGAGCATTCTGGTAGCATGCCACTTATCCTGTGTACGTATGCTGGCAATATGCAGTAGCTGAAGTGCAAAAGGATAGCACTTCTGAATTTTCACATGAAATTGATTTTGTTTTACAATCTTGATATGTTCAAATTGACACAACAAATTAACAATACATTGTCTACATCCACTATCTCAATTCAGTAACAACCTTCAGTTAGTCTGAAACAAACATTCAGATCACATTCAGTCCACAAGACCACGATCTCAATTCAGTAACAACCCTCAGTTACTCTGAAACAAACATTCAGATCACATTCAGTCCACGAGACCCTGTGCCGTGGTGCGGACTTGCCAGCTTTGTCAAACAAAGTGAAATATATTAAACCATCACATTCAGTATTGAGAATATCAATTATCATCAATTTACTATTTAAATTCAACAACCAGTCACGACATTTCTGTACTCTAAACCTCTGCTTATCTATTTCCGTCGCCATCCTCCAGCTGATGAGGTTTCATTCCTCCATCAGCAGCTAGTCGTCCTCCACGGGGGGTGGCATGTGCATGTGCAGTGGCGCCATGGATGCTGGAGTTGGTGCTGCCCGTGGAGAGCACTCAAACTCCACGCTGGGGCAGCGGAGCTCCTACGCGTGTAGGACACTCCATCTGCGCCGGGAAAGGAGATGAGCGGCCGGCGGCCATGGACGCCCTTTCCCTCCCCATCGCATCTTGGACTCTTGGTGGACTGGGCACTCTGGGCTCTGTTGGGCTGCGTCCGTGTGCTCCCCTCTGTTGGATGCCAATTGGCAAGGCATGCCGTCGGATGGACCATCAACGGTGCACGAGCGTTCAACGTCTCTCTGACGTAGTTCTAACTATTCATCCTGTTCTAGTGGTTGAGGCTGGGCTGGAAGTGGCTGAAATGGGCTCAGCCCATACCAGCTGTTATATATACCAGCCAGGCCGGTGCTGTTCTCTCTCCCTCTCCCATTTGGTCGCGCCACGCTAGGGTTCCCCTTACCCGCTGCCTCCCCCAAACGCCGGCATCGCCATTGGTTCCCCGACCGCGAGGGGCTGTCGGTAGTGTACCTTCCCGCCGTTGGGCGGCTCCCGCTCTCCACTCCGGCCACCGACAGATCGGTTGCTCGCAGCCGCGGTTGCACCGAGCTCCCCGGGCGCCGGGTTGGCCGTTCCCCGCACCTCGCGGATCTAATCGGCATCGATTGGTTGCTGTTCATTTCGATTGCAAGGTATAGCTGCTATGCTTTGGCGATTTAAAATTTTGGAGCTTCTAGTTCCAACTAGGAGGATTATTTGATACTAGCATTTTTTTTTCACACAAAGCTGTCTTGGACTCTTGGGGGCTAAGCTTGTTCAAACTAATTTTATCACATGCGTTTTCTGCCCAACTGCTACTGTCACGCATCTTCATAATCAATCTGGCTTTCATGGTCAGTGACTGCAGTATTGTTCTGCATCGGGGTGGTGGTCTGGTGGAGGCCAAGTATGATTCACAGATTTAGTTTAGGGGACCACAGTTGCTGTTTATTATGGTTTAGGAGGCTGCTGTCACCAGTCAGTCTCTACTTGTCTATCATGCTCGAGACTTGGAGGAGCTGTCGTTTCTGTCAAAATCTATGAGTTGAATGTACATTTGAATAAATTGTACAATGGCACCTTTATTTTATTTTATTTTATTGCAACCATGCACAATTTAGGATTCGAGTGGCCATTCCATGCGATTGCTTAGCTTACCCAAACTTGCTTTGGGGCTTTGTTGTTTTGTTTACATTCTAGTATTTCTGCATGTGTAAATATGGGCCTTATCCACTTATTTTGCTTCTCTTATTATGCTTACAGAGGTGCTAATTGTTGACTTTTTTTTCTTCATCTTTTTAGATTATGGAATAAAAGTATTGTCCCAACTGCCCATTTCTTGATTTCTTCATCATGCAGCTTACACTTTAATTCGCTATGGTATTTGGGATTGCTAAACCCATCAATTTTTTAACAGATGGCGAGTGTCTTGACGGGGGTGATGACATCTGTCATTGACAAGCTTACAGCCCTGCTTGGGGAGGAGTACACAAAGCTGACAGGCGTGCAAAGGGAGGTGAACTTTATGAAGGATGAGCTGAGCAGCATGAATGCCCTCCTTCAGAGGCTGGCAGAGGTGGACAGTGATCTTGATTTGCAGACCAAGGAGTGGCGGAGACAAGTGCAGGAGATGTCTTATGACATAGAGGATTGTATTGATGAGTTTATGCATCGTGTTGGCAATAGCAGCACGACTGACTCTGGAGGCCTTGTTCATGAGGTGGTTCAACAGCTTAAGGTGATGTGGGCGCGCTATCAAATTGGCAGCAAAATCCAGGACCTCAAGGCACGTGTTGAAGATGCTAGCAAACGCCGCATGAGGTACAAGGTGGACGAGCTCGCCTTTCAGTCTAACACCAAAACTGCCATCGATCCCCGTTTGCCTTCACTGTATGCTGATCCAGATGGGCTTGTTGGCATTGACCGACCAAGAAATGATCTTACAAGGATGCTAATGGAGGGGGAGGGGACATCAGTACAGCAACTGAAGGTCATATCTATTGTGGGTCCTGGGGGCCTTGGTAAAACCACGCTAGCGAATGATGTTTACCATAGACTGGAAGACCAATTCCAATGTCGAGCTTTTGTCTCTTTGTCACAACAACCTGATGTAAAGAAGATACTAAGAAATATACTCTATCAAGTCAGCCATCAGGAGTATGCTAACATGGAAACATGGGATGAGGAAATGTTTATCAATGCAGTCCGAGATTTTCTACAAAGAAGAAGGTGAGTTCATGAATTTATAATAATGGCAACTTGGTTATTGGTGGCATAACCAGTTTTGATCGGTAACTTCATCCAGTATTCAGAAGATTTCTTTTATTTAGTGGATGAATGGAACAAGCTGTTATTTCCATTTCTGGATTTAATCAATTACATAATATATGGTTTCTTTGGGCTTCTAGAACTGTATGTCTAACTTCCATATTCATGTATTTCGGATTGTTGAGGGCTTTAAAGTTTTTCTTCAAGCAAATTTAATCTAACCACAGCTGAATTGGCATTTTGACATGTTTCATGTTTTCAATTTCAAATTGTTCTTGATGTAAATTTTATTTAACCACTTACCACTGCAGCACTGCTAAGTACGTGACTTGCTAACTCATATGGTTGTATCATACATCGTGCTTATGACCATAAATTCTAGGGTTACTACTACCCAGAATATCTGATACTTACTTCAATGTCATAAAGTGATAAAACATGTAATTTGGGAAATTTATTCATGGAGAAATTTAAAAAGATAAGTGTTTCTGCACTTCATAGATAGAGAAAAGCCCAATGGATCAGCTCCCAGTTGTTTTGTAATCTATGTAATTATTATGTGTTGACTGTTGAGTGCAGAGGCGTTTTTTATTTTTTTCATTTGTCTACACTATCTATATACATGGCATTTTAGATATGGCATTGTGATATTTTTGCAGCCCTTCCTAATTTATAGATGATATGCACTTGATAGGTACTTCATTGTTATTGATGATATATGGAGTACTCAAGCATGGAAGACCATCAAATGTGCTTTGTATGTGAATAATTGTGCAAGCAGAATTATGACAACAACACGCATTGTTTCTATAGCCAAGTCGTGCTGCTCTCCTCACCATGATCATGTCTACGAAATAACACCTCTTAGTACAGATAACTCCAAATGTCTTTTCTTCAAGCGAATCTATGGCTCCGAACATATATGCCCTCCTCATTTGGAAGAAGTTTCCAGTGAAATCCTGGAAAAATGCAGTGGTTCACCACTGGCCATTGTTACAATGGCTAGCTTATTGGCTAATAAAGCCAGTACGAAGCAAGAATGGGATAGGGTATATAATTCAATTGGTTCAACACTGGAAAAGGATCCTGATGTGGAAGAAATGAGAAGGATATTATCCCTTAGCTTTGATGACCTCCCCCATCATTTGAAGACATGTTTATTGTATTTAAGTATATTTCCAGAAGATTATGAGATCGAAAGGGATCAACTACTAAAAAGATGGATCGCTGAAGGATTCATTAATATGGAGGGTGGACAAGATTTGGAGGAGATAGGAGAGAATTATTTTAATGATCTTATCAACAGAAGCATGATTCAACCAATGAAAATCAAATGTGATGGTCGAGTGGCCTCATGCCGAGTTCATGATATGATTCTTGATCTCCTGATATCTAAGTCAGTTGAAGAAAACTTTGCCACTTTCATTTCTGGCAAAAATCAGATGTTATTGTTACAACGTAAGGTTCACCGGTTATCTCTCAACTATTATTCCCAAGATCACACCATGTTTCCATCAGCAGCGATCATTTCTCATTGTCGATCACTCAGTATCTTTGGGTATTCTGAACAGATGCCTTCTCTTTCGAAGTTTCGAGTTCTTCGGGTACTTGATATAGAAAATGGTGAGGAGATGGAACTTAAATATTTTGAACATATAAGGAGGCTTCTTCAGTTGAAGTACCTTAGACTCCATGTAAGGAGCATTCCTGCACTCCCAGAACAACTGGGAGAACTGCGGCAGTTGAGGACCCTGGATCTAGGAGACACAAAAATTACAAAATTGCCAGAAAGCATTGTTCAGTTGCAAAATTTGACATGTTTACGTGTCTGTAATATGGAATTACCTGAAGAAATTGGGAATCTGCATGCTCTTCAGGAGCTTTCAGAGATCAAAATCAACCGAAAGTCCATGGCCTCTTCTTTGCTGGGTCTGGGCAGTCTGACTAAACTAAGGATTCTTAGACTACGCTGGTGCATTGTCAATACAGACACTGACAACAGGACTTTTATTGACAACTTGCTCTCATCACTTCGCAAACTTGGTAGACTCAACCTTAGATCTCTATGCATTCAGAGTTATTACGGTTATTCCATAGATTTCTTGTTGGATTCTTGGTTCCCTACCCCTTATCTCCTACAGAAGTTTCAGATGAACTTAGAGTACTATTTCCCTAGAATTCCATCTTGGATAGCATCACTTGGCAACCTCACCTATCTAGACATCAATGTTGATCCATTAGAGGAGGAAACACTGGAGATCCTTGGAAACTTACCTTCATTGATGTGCCTCTGGGTGTCATCAAAAGCAGCTGCACCCAGAGAAAGACTTGTTGTGAGCAGCTGCATGTTCGGATTCCTGAAGGAGTTCCAGTTCACCTGTTGGAGAAACAAGGTGGGGCTGGTATTTGAAGCGGGGGCCATGCCGAGACTCGAGAAGCTGCGGATTCCATTCAATGCAGGCACGGGTCTCAATTTTGGCATCGAGCACCTCTCTTCCCTCAGGCATCTTATTGTTGAGATCATTTGCAGTGGCGCAACGGTGCAGGAAGTGGAGGCATTGGAGGAAGCTATCAGGAATGCAGCTGATCTCATTCCAAATCGACCCACACTTGAAGTTCGAACGTGGGACTAAGAAAATATGGTGAAGGAGTAAGGCATTGCTGAAGAAATTGAAAAATCAGCATGCTGGTGTAAGGTGTAAAGCATCTCCTCTTACCTATCTCCTCTCCTGCTCTACATGAAAATGTGGCGGTGGTGAATAAAAAAAAAAGGTGGGGGGCAGCAGTGGCCTGGTGGCTGCATCTAGCAGTGGTGGCAGCGGTGACCGGGGGTGAGGAAGACCGAAGACCACGTATTCTCCATCCCTCACTGCGCCTCAGCCTTCTCCCCCAACCTGCTGCGGCGGCGGCTGCTCTGACCAGCAGCACAACAGCGGCGGTGGTGGAGGTGACAGAGAAAGCACACACTCCCTGTTTCTCACTGCTCCTCAGTCCTCTCCCTCTCCAAGCTGCAACAGCGGTGGTGGAGGTGACAGAGAAAGCACACACTCCCTGTTTCTCACTGCTCCTCAGTCCTCTCCCTCTCCAAGCTGCAACAGCAGCAACTGGCAGCGGCAGCAGCGACTGTAACCGGCGACAGTGGCAGGCGCCATGTCTCAGTAGGAAAAACAGGCAGGCTTCTTCTCCTCTTCTCAACAGATATATTAGATGTTTCTCCTGCAGAAGCCAAAGAGGCAAAGGGTTCAATTTTTCTCTGTGCAATATCCAATTAGTGAATGGAATTGAGATAGTATCCATGTATGAATAGACTTGTAGAGTTGATGCACCAACAGTTAGAAAATATATGCTTTTTACTACCTCTGTTTAGGGTGCATATAATCATGTCCTGTTATGAAACTGATGGGTCTGTTAAGTTATTTGGTCCTGTATGCATGAACTGTACTGTCTACCCCAAATATTTTTGTCTAGTTTTTGAAAAACCGCTAAATGGCTTAGGGCCTGTTTGGATCCCATAAAGTTTATAGACCTTTTTAGCTCTTGAGTCTCTAATTTGGTGGTCTAAAGTTTAGTCAACCTCACAAAATGGGTGTTTAAGTCCATTACACCGTAAAAGTGAGATAAAGTACTCTAAAGTTTAGCACCTAACTGAAGCCAACTAAGATCATGGGATCCGAACAGCCGAACAGGGCCTTGGCTGGAGATTTTGTACCAGCTATAGTAGCTGCTACAGAACCTAACCACTAAAGGCTTTGGCTGGAGATTTTGAACACTGGTGTACACAGAACAATGTTTCATTTTGCAGCTGTGGGACTTTTATTTTCTTTTTCTTTTTCCCTCGATGGATGCGGTTTTGACTTTTTTTCTCTGGTGAGTGGAAGTACTAGTTAGGAGCAAAGCTAAACTTTGACTGATATATTTTAAACATTTTGTAGCTACAGACATTGGTATATACTAACATCCAAAGTTTTATAGTTTTTGTAAAAAAAAATGAATTTCACCGTCGGATCCACCATCGGTAACATCTAGTTTTATATTCCAACCCACCCAAGCGTCTCGAGTCTCATCACCACCATCCACGGGTCTCATCCACCGTCAGATCCACCGCCATCCCATCCAAGGGTTTAGCCGAACCATAGGGGGAGGGCGGTTCGGTCGAACCGCCATGGTGAAAGTTAAGGTGTCTTCTTTGTGTTAGGGCGTGGCTAGCGCCCGGACGTCCGGACGTTAGCCCCCATCCGGATGCCCGCGCTAGCATGCTACGCCTGCCCTCTTGCCCCGCATGCTGCTAAGTCTGCCACACATGCAACTACTGCACGTCCACCCCCGCATTGTCGCATGCAACTACTGCATGTCCGCCCCCGCATTGCCACATGCAACTGCTGTATCTACATACCTGTCCCCACATGTTGGTGCACGTACACATGCAGCTGCACGCCCCATGCCTGCTGATGCGCATGCAGGTGGGGACCACCCACGCTCGCTTCGCTTGCCACGCACGTGGGGACCACTGCACCCACGGGAACCACCTCTGCATGTGCCCGCTTCCTACATCTGCTAATGTTGCAATATGAAGCACTTATGCAACATACGTCTAAAAATTGTTGAAATACACTTACAATATATGTGTATAGCAGCGACAACATATGTGTATACCAACATACGCTTGCAATATAAGTGTATAATAACTGCAACATATGCAACATCCAAAAAATACGCTTGCAACATACGTCTGAAACAGATAAACACTTTGAATAGATGCTTGTAACATATGTGTATAGCCACTGAAACATATGCAACATTCAAATAAAACACTTGCAACATACGTCTGAAACAGATGAAACATTTAAAACATACACTTGCAACATGCATGTATAACCATTGCAACATATGCAACATTCCGATCTACTTTTGTAATATCATGCGACACACTTGCAACATACCTCTGAAATAATTGAAACATATGCTTGCAACATGCGCTCAACATCTCCTTGATGCTTGTCGCACAAAGGGAGCGTAGCTACACGTGCGGCCCCGCTGCGCCAAGCCACCATGCTGTTGTCGTCCAAGATCATCCACGAGCAGGCCGACCATTAGCACCTAAAGACATCTACGCGAGGAGGCGGAGGCGCATCAAGGCAGCCGGCACAACACGACACCATAACAAAAAGGAGGGTCGCATGGCTGCATACGCCTGTGGCAGAGGAGTTCATCTACTATGCGCCGCAGACGGAGGGCTGTGCCATGGGATGACATAGGAAGCGGTCGGGGAGGCAGCCACATCTGGCACCAGAGCAAGGCGAGGATGATGCAAGGGCCACGAGGGAGACGAGCGGCCATGGCGGGCAGGAGGCGCGATGGAGATGAAGGCGGGCGACCGAGCTCAAGCGTGGCGGAGATGCCGGTCGATGAGCGCCCGAACGTCGGAGGCGACGCGACGGAGCACGGTCACAGCGCTACGGTGATTTCTGCGTGACTAGTTCTGGAGAAGCGAGTGGACAAGTAGATAGGATAGGATGAAGAAACGAGTGGACGAGCAGATATGATAGGATATGATGGGGTCATTGGGCTCGTGGCCCACCAATAGGAGCGTCCGGATGGACGGACGCCTACAAGAAGTATATTACCGTTTATGTTACCGCCCCCAGGGGTCCAAATAGCCTATAACGGTGTAGGATCCACTGTCACAATAGTTCTTTTGGACTAGGACTTCATAATAAAATATAGTAAAAGTTGACATAGTACTATTGGAAAAGGGCCACTGGAAACCCTGAAACAGGTCCAGTCCTAGTACAAATTAGCCCAGCCGCGAGCCCAAGTTAGGAAATGGCCCCCACAAGGCCTCCAATTCCTCTCCTACCGCCGTATGACAAGTGGACCACGTAAACCACATCCCACCTGTCGGTGATTCAAAGTGAGCACCCATGACAATGCGGTCTGGTAATCTCAAAAAAAAAAGACAATGCGGTCTGGCCGCAGTCGTCGGTGTGTCGCCGTGCTCGTGCGGCAGCGACGGTTGAGACCGGGGCGTGGGGGCGCATAGGGCCGACTGGTTGGCATCGAGCCCAGCAAGCACACGGGACACTGAAACTTGATGATGGATTAACTCATGTCATCGTCATAACTTTTTACTACCTCTGTCTTAATTTATACGTTGTTTTGACTTTTATATACACACAGCTCTTATATGTATTTAGACATATCATATATCTAGATGTATAACAAAAAATTATGTACCTAAAAAAGCCAAAATAACTTATAATTTTGGACAGGAGAGTACAAACTAAGGCTCTGTTCGGCTGCTATTTTGCTGGCTGTGGCTGCTGAAAAGAAAGCTACAACTGCCATAGCCATACTGTGAAAATTGCTAGCCGAATAAGCCCTAAAAAGCCATAAGGGCACGTCTAATCCTAGTATTACCCTCAACAAAAGAGCTCCACATATGCATAAATGGAATGAAGACACAAGACTCACAATGTACAACACTTTGCCATATACCTATTCCTTTTAACATCCTCTCTCATTTTCTCTTCTCTCCCACTTTCTCTGGTTTGCAACGTTTTGGTCCCCCAAAAACGATGATACCTCTGCACTACTGTCACACTCTTGAAGCCCCTTATCTGTGTGACATGGAGGCTTGGTGCTTACTCCCTTGGTGTCAGAAAGAATGTCATTCTCTTATTCCGAAAAGTTAAACATTTTTTTATCTTGACCATATATAATAATAAATATTTATAAATCATTGAATACAAATGTTGCTAATATCTTTTACAAATCTAGTCAAACTTAAGAAAGTTTAACCGGCACGAATCTTATAGTGGCATTCTTTTTAAGACAGAGAGAGTATATGGAGGTTGGGACATAAGGCCATGCCGGTGGGTTGAGGCTGGCCTAACTGCTAAATCGAGTATCTAAGTTAATTTTCGATCACACCACCATGTTTCTTGCAATAAACCCTTTGAAACAAGACCCACATGTATATAAATATAGATAAAATTTTATTAACAAACATTTATCTCATGGAAATAGAATATTTTCTTTTATTGAGCAGAGTATTGAGCAGAGATGATGTTCTAGGTTCAGGAAACTATATTCCACTTCCACAAGAAAAATATTCTCGGTTCAAGATAACAACATTCCAGATCTAGAAGCATAGACTATAGGTTTGTGCGATTGCTATTATATACTCATAGAAATAAAAATACAACAACAACTATCAAATATATGTATACAAATAGATAGATAAACAAATAAATAAAATAACATAAATAGAAAAGGTAATAAAAACATAGAACAAAGCATAGAGAAAATAAAAAAAATCATGCAAGAGGAAAATTAGAAATAACATCACATATACAATTTGAACAACCTAAAATATACTATAGAACATTTGTTGGGTACTGTGTGAATACTAAGTTAATCGTAGCACCCTATTTGTACTATATGAACATCATAAATTATATCATAGAACATAAAATGTATACGTGAACATCACATGTGTCAAAGTGAAATGTTTCGATATGTGATGTAATCCATACAAAAGCAAAAGTTGCATGCACAAATTATTTTTATAGTTAAGCAAAATCAAATATTTTGGTATGTTATGTAACCCAAACAAATGTAGAAGACACATCAC